CCCTAAACCCTAACTCTAAACCCTTAATCCCAACCGTAAACTGTGCCAAGGTACAGAGCGCGAACTTGGATCCACGGCGTTGGAGTCAGCTTGCTCCCTGCCCAAGGCGGACTACATCGGGAGTACGGGTTTAGGCTTTTGGGGTCAAGGGCTTAGGGGTTAGGAGTTTAGGGCTTTTGGGGTTTGGGGTTTTAGGGGATTAGGGTTTGGGGGTATATGAGCTATAGTCTAAACTCCTAGTATTCCCCTTAGTATCCCCTATAGTCGTCCCCTATATCTTGCCCTATACAGCCCCCTTTAAGGAGTTTAGACTATAGCTCATTTAAGGATACTTCGGGATGTAACCCTAAACCCTAAACCCTAAACCCTAACCCCTAAACCCTAAACCCGGTTTCTTGAAACCAGAGGGCTAGGGATCCCGAATGCCTAGGAACTCGCGCAACGACTTGATGGCTGAGGACATGATGAGCCTGTACCAGGACCCTCCTTGTGCCCTTAATTGGGGGTATATGGTCCCTAATAGTAGGTACTTAGGCCCTAATAAAGGGTAGGAGGAGGGCCTAGGTAGTTAAGGTTTTTGGGTTTTGGGTCTTGGGTCTAAGGTTTATCGCCAAGATGAATTTGTTAGTTCGAAGTTCAAGGGAATTGGAGCCTAAGTATAGTACTTATAGACCAGATCTATCCATCTTAGTGGACCTAGGGATTCATAGTCAGTTTGAGCATTCGCGGCTTTGAAGGAACTTAAACGAAGTAGCGTAATTGGGAGATGCAGTTAATGATGAAGTTCTCTTATCACGGGACCTTACTTGAAGTTCCTAGACTGCGTCATGAAACACCCCACTGCCTCTGAGATGCGCAATCTTAGTGGCTCAAGGTGAGGGGAGTTTTAATAACATATTATGGTATATTATGGGGTTATATTGGGCTTTTGGAAAAGAAAATGGAAACTACTATATAGGCTTTCAGGTTTAGGGTTTAGGTTTAGGGTTTAGAGTGTCAGGCTTAGGGTTCACGAGTTTGGGGATTGCTTGTCTGTGGTTAGCAAAGAATGATGGAATGCATCTTTATAAGCCCCATGCAATGCGCCACAATGAAGTAGTCTTCATGTTCTTTTCCATTCCCTGCCCTAATCCCTTAGGGTTTGGGGTTTAGGGTTTTAACCAGTGGTTTCCATGTTATGTTCCATTCCTTCCTTCCTAGGGCTTAATGTGAACAAGTCAAGGTGAATGGCATAGCCTTGAACCCTAGCGGCCACAAGGCACCTATCATTTCTTTAAAAAAATCAAACCCTAAACCCTATACCCTAAACCCTAAACCCTAAGCTCAAGTGACATTCTGAGCTTTGCCTTGAGGGTGGACGGGGGGAAGGGGGGAGGGGGTGTAGCGTTTAGGGTTTAGGGGTTTAGGGTTTAGGGTTTAAGGTATTTTCCTTCTAACAGCCGCTTCTTAATCAGAATTGTGCAGGCCCCCAGCTAATTTCAATTTGATACACCTTCTGCCTAAACTTGAGCAATCTTGAAACGTGTTCTCTTCAAATCATTTTCGATCGTGTATTCATGATCATCATGGTTCGGAAGTTTCTCACAGATTAATTCGAGAAGCAATGTTTGGAGGCTGCTCAAGGTGAGCAAATGTCTGCAGTCGATCTGACGTGCAGGAGCCAACAAAGGTGTGACCTAAGTTGTTGTTGCCAGGACCCTAAACCCTGAACCCTAATAAAAATGGTAGGTGCGCAGTGCCATAAGCAGGCTGCAGAACTTAGGGAGACAGGCAGAAAGACGTGGTTGCAACTGCTGCAACCCTTCATTCCCCTGCTACGTAGAGGGTCAGGGGGACTTAGAAAGTAGGTGAATAAGTGGGATAAGTAGGGTTGCTATATGGGTTATCTGGGTTATTAACCTACTAAGTCCGCCTGACCCTCCAGGTAAACCCTAAACCCCGTCCCCATATTCCACCTGCAGGCTCCTGAGGTTGAGGGTTTAGGGTTTAGGGTTCAGGGTTTTAGGGTTTAGGGTTTAGGGTTTTAGGGTTTAGGGCTTAGGGTTTTTTTCACATCACTACTTGGAGGCGTGGATGACTTACAAGCCTGTTTAAAGCTGCCTTTATAACCCAAATTCAGAACCCCCTAAGCCCCCCTAAGTAAGCTCATAGGTGGTTAGGGTTAAGGGTTTAGGGTTTAGGGTTTAGGGTTGAATTACAATGTAAACAGGCTTTACGTAAAATGCCCCTCCAAGTGGGATAGCGCAGGGTGCAGAATTTCGGGCTTCACAGTCTGTGCTGCGTGTATTGGTGGACCTTTTTGCATACTCATATGAACTATAGGCTTAACCTCTTAAAGGGGGCTACACAGGAGATAATATGGGGGAGTATTAGAAAAGGCTGTCGGGGATATTATGGGCTTAGACTCTAGCTCATATTCTAACATGATTTCCTAGACCCCACATCCCACGGATCCCACGTATGACTTTACTGCTTCCCAGCTGCTTGGGTAACTTACGTTGGTTACCTTGAGGTTCGGGGTTATGCTAACCTACCTGGTGGTTTCCAAAATCAAAAGTCCCTTTTTGGGGGGTCCCCAAGATCAGGACTGTAGTATATTGAAGCCTATACTGGGGTCCCCCCATTTTTAAGGAAACTCCCACTCACTGGCAGCTGAAGATGCCACCCAGTTATGACCAAGCTAGGGGACTTAGAGGGTTAAGACTTGGGTTAGAGGTACAGTCACCGGCTAGCTGCAATTACCCTGAACCGAGCCCTAAATCCGAAACCATGTGCGAGTCAGAATGCATTACAGGACGGGGCTCTCGGGTCTAGGGTTTCAGGGTTTAGGGGTTTTAGGGGTTAGGAGGGCTTAAACGACTTATCACCAGGTTACAATCACAGTGAAGAGACGGGGGTAACACGCCTCTCCAAGGGGGGAGGGTCACCCAAATCAGCCAGAGGATCCCACACAAATGCAGGGATTGGGTTTAGGGTCGAGGGTCTAGGGTTTTTGGTTCAGGGAGTTTAGGGTTTAGGATATGGAGCTTTTTCTGGAGTCCGGAATAGGGGTCGAAGCTTTGGGGGCTACAAAAAGTATACCCATTTTACTACCCCAGACCTCCAAGAAGCGAAACCCCATACCATGCGGCAGAATGCTGCCTGAGTAGTGGTTTTGGGTTTTTGAAGCAACTCGGATGACGTTCTTGTTACAACATGCTAGAACCTAAAGGAGATTGTTCTCTTGCTCTATGCCACTATGTTCAGGACACGTTTTTAAAACAAATAGGCAAAATACAAACTAGGAACTCAAATAGATAAACCCTGACCACTAAGCCCTGTAAACACTATGCCCTAAGTCCTGACCCGACCCCTACGCCCAATCTCAAAACCCTAACCACCACTCACCTCCCACATGGGAGGGACTCTATAACATCCCAATACTGGAGAATCAGATGGAGAATAAGTTGGGAACTGGATTTCTATACCACTGTATGCAGGGCCTATCGGGTAATTTAGAAGTATCCCTAAACCCCAAACCCCAAACCCTAAACCCTAAACTCTAAACCCCAACCCTAAGGCCTAAATCCTAGATGTTAAGATTTCTCACCTCGTATTTTGGCTGGAGAAATCACTGCGGTGGCCATCCAGCCACGCCTGCACCTCGAGGGTCTGAAAGATAGGGTTTAGGGTTGAGGGGTTTAGGGTTTAGGGTTCAGGGCTTAGGGTTGAGGGGTTTAGGGTTTAGGGTTTAAGGTTCAGGGTTTAGGGTTGAGGGTTTAGAGGTTTCGGGTTTAGGGTTGAAGGCTTAAGGTTTAGAGGTTTGGGATCTCCGTTCTTGGAGAGGGTTTCGGGTGCAGAGTCTTGGGTTTAGGCTTTAGCGTTCTAGACATGAAGAAGTTTAGAGTTGCAGGGGTCCCTGTAATAGGGTAAGAAGGATATCATAAGAATACGTTGGGTTTAGGTAGGGGTGTATGTGAGCCATTGTCTAAACTCCTTAAAGGCAGGTTTACTAAGGGAACTACATAGGGGAGTATCATACAAATTATTCAGGGGATTTTAGGAGTTCAGACAATGGCGCATGTAAAAACATTAGATTGAATGTAGTAGGCAACTGTCACTGAGCGCAGGCAGGTTCCCACGGTTTAGGGTTCGCCAGGGACGTTTGCCCGGAGCTACTGGCGGGCGTGAGTGATTCAGGAACTAGCAGGGCACGCGTTTGAGGGCTTAAGGTTCTACACCCTAAATAGCAATTTCCACTTCATTTATGTGCCATGTTATGCGGTTTACGTTTCCACATCCTAAATAGAGTTTACGTTTCATTTATTTTCCTTGTCTATTTTCCATGTGATTCTCCATTATTGGGGATAGAATTCCTATATACCCCCTGCCAATAACCACCAGCGGGAATGAGAGAATACCATTTAGGGATGGCAAGGTTCCGCACCACAAAGGAACCCTAGGCCCTAAACTCCTAAGCCCTTAAACCCGCAAACCCTAAACCCCTGTTGCTTTCAGGCGATTTTCTTGTTCAGGTCGAGGAAGCCAACTCGGGCATAGGGGATTTACGCGTTCCAAAGCTCCGTGGTCTGCATGAAAGTACCCGTAAGGGTCGAAGGACCCAAATATTGGGGCTTTAGGTCCTAAATACCATTCAAATTATGGTATTTGGGCCCTAAAACCTATTTTTGTTGAGTCCTTGGACCCTTAGGGTACTGTAATTAACACTACTTGGGATGTTTTGGCCGAGTCTACACCAGTACTTTTTCTAGCTGTCACGTACACAATCAACCATAGTGATCTAGCGGTGAACATAAGCAGCAACCTCATGGATGCTCGGAGGAACCGCGTGCTGTGTAACAGGAACCTACCCAAGGGCTCCTATGTAGTTCCTTTTGGGGTTCGTTGTGTCTTTTTGTAAGGGGTTACAATATACTACCCCAAAAGGAACTACATTGGAGGTTCTGGGTAGTGTCTTGGCCAGCATGGGTGCTGAGGGGAACCGATGCTCTGGAATAGGAATGGCATTATCTTGGCCAGCATGGATGCTCGGGGAACCGTATGCTCTGGCAACACGAACGTCATTTTCTGGGCCATGCTACGGAGAACTGTAAAGACTTCAACTTAAATGCCAATTCCTGGAACAAGAACGCTCTGCGAAAGATGTCTCAAACTAGCGCATATCAAAACCAATGTTTTTTGCGAATCCACAGCTTAGATCTTACGCTTTGAGGCATTACTTGGAGGGTCAGGAGAACTTAGTCAATATACCTCTAACCTCCAATAACCCTGCCGGTCTTCGGGATTGAGGACAAACGCATCTCGAGCATTGGATTTAGAGCATGAGGATTTGCAAATTTAGAGTGTAGGAGTCAGGCGTTTATTCAGGGATTACAACATGTTGCAGGTATGTAACAGGGACCCTGACTTTTGGAAACTCCCATGTGGCAGTTCCGGGTTTTGGGATTCAAGGCTGATTGATAACCACTTAGGAAAACAGAAGAACAATGAATTCTCCGTCCATGTCGCTATGGTTTCTTGGGATGTGTCGTGGCAGAGTTGAGAGTGTAGGGTCAAGATACCCTGAACCCAAGCTCTACACCCTCAATCGTGTTCTGGAAACTGCGACTCTGCAAGGCAGGCTTTCCCGTGTTGGCAGATTAGAGCGTCGGACTATTATTACTATTATTACCTTTTGTGGCCGCAATCGTCCTCAATGTTCTAGGAGCACCATGACCCTCCTGCAAGCCTGAAGTCTTAAAGCTGTCACGGCCTTGAACCACTGATCAAAGGTTCAACGTATGGCCCCTCCAATGTTGCTGAAGCGGCTCCTTATGAACCCTAAACCCTAAACCCGACACCCCAATCTACCCAAGGCGTCTGCGTTGGAAATGGATGTGCTTTGTCCCGAAAGGCCTCAGATTGCAAACCAAAGCATGGCAGCTGTGAGACAAACATACCCAAACATACAGTCCCCGTTAAGTAGATAGTATATGGCTCTGGGTATATTATGATGCGATCCCTATATACCCCATGTTCTATCTACTTAAGGGGGACTATAACCTTAGCTATAACCCAAGTTACGGCTTCAGGGTTTAGGGTTCAAGGCTTAGGGTAGCTTCAACCATCCTGGGGGATTCTGGGGGCTGATAGCTGGAATCTAAACACATGTACAAGTGGGCTCTATCAAGCATGTAAAGATTCTTTGGTGTAGAATTTAGGGCTTTACAAGTGGGCTTTAAAGTTGACATTGATTGGTGTGGAGTCTAGAGCTGTACAAGTGGTTTTAACAGTAGACATTCATCGGTGTGGCGTCCAATGCTCAGGCTTTTTGGCATAGTTGTGGCGATCGCTATAGACCACTACAAGGTTTCCTTTAGGGAGAACCATTGGGGTCAGAATAGAAACACAGGGTGGGCTGCAGAACCGCATCCAACAAATTCTAAGCAAAATCCCTGGGGTTACGGGTACTTGCCCATTGCATGTCACACTGTCCTCCGCCTCATAACTCAAACTCTCCCTGAAGGTCCTTATGATAGGCAGGATTTCGTGACTAAGGGCACTCGCGCACATGCACCCTCGCACGGAGCACGAAGCCCTTAAATTCAGCTGAATTTCTAAGCCTCAAACCCCAAAAACACACCCAGACCGAATCCTCTAACACTAAACAAAACCGAGGCCCTCCACCCTGAATCTCCAAAAAGTCTTTAGCTCTAAAGCGTGCCAAGTGGCTTACAGCAGCAGTTGCAGATGCTGATGAATCTGTGGGAAACAGCCATGAGAACTGATCCTCGATCCTGCAGCTTTCAGGTATCGGAGGTTTGCGGTTTAAGCAGGATGCTGATCCTGAACCCTCAATAGCAGTTTCCATTTTATTTTCCATAATCCCAATATAACCCCGATTTATCCCTAAACCCCTAAATAATCCTGAGCCCTTATCCCTGCAGAGTCCTGGGACTGACCGCAGAATCCGACTCTTGGCGCGCGTACAACTGCGACTTCAACATATCCATAGTCACGTACTTATGCAGGGTGTGCACCTCAGTTTAGGGTGCAGGGCTTCAGGGTTTTGGGGTCTGGGATTCAAAGTTTGAGGTTCAGGGATTGGGGTTGAAGGCTTGCGGTTCCGGATTAAGGGCACCATGGTCATAACTTACGTTTCCCTCTGAATCCTAAAACCTGAACCCTGAACCTTAAACCCACACCGAGGTTCAGGGACTCTGGTTCAGGTACATTTTCCGCCTGAACCCTAAGCCCTAAACTCTGGGTTTGCACCTTAAGTTCGGTTAACGGCTTTTCGTTACTCTGCACTCGCTAGCTGGTTAGGCTATTGGGCTCACAGTGCTGAGGGTTTAGGGTGCAGGGCTTTGCCGTGTTGCCCTTTGACCTACGACCTTTTAAACTCTGGTCTCCGTCTCTTTGGAGCATACCTCTGCTAGCTGGTACGGAAAACATGCTTTGCTGCTTGGTGCTTTGCACCTGGGGGCTGGGCCGTAGGCAAGCGTGTCGCACAAGTGTGAACCTTTTGCGGAGACCTTTCGATAGGGATCCTGTTATTTCGGTACCCCATGCTGAAAAATCTAGAACCTGAACCACTAACTAACCTAACCTCTAACACCCTCAAGAGGAGCCCTCAAACCCTAAACCCTAAACCCTGAACCCTAAACCCTAAACCCTAAAACCAAGCCCTGGGCCCTGGGCCCTAAACCCTTGGCCCTACATGCTAAACCAAGAAAACTCCCAGGTCGAAGATCACGGCTTTTCATCAGTAAAGTCTGGGGGCTGCAGGAGAAGCCCATAGGGTTTAAATTTAAGGTTTAGGGTGGGGATCCCTTACCCGGTTATATCGGGGGTATGTATCCCCTAAACCCAAAACCCTAAAGCCTGAGTATTATAATCCTACAAGGATCCCAAAAAAAGCTCTCACTTGGAGGCCCATGAGACTTAGTAACTACTTGTAGCTGGACTTCTAACTCAACTTATAATCTCCCTAAATGGGCTTGTAGGGGCTGACCCCAATTATAAGTAGGGTTATAATCCCTGTGATAAGTAGTTACTGAGTCCCAGGGTCCTCCAAGTAGGATTCAGGTTGGGTACTGCCCCCCCTCAGTAACAGCTGGATAATAATTATAATATGGTTATATATAGCCCTTAATAGGACCCCAAGTATAGACTGTTACTGGGAGGGGGCAGTACCCAAGATTCAGTAAACCCTAAACCCTAAATCCTAAACCCTAAACCCTAGGGTTTTTCAGGATATTTGCATCATCAGCCCAGAACAACAAGACCAAGCTCTCAAGGCATGAAGCCAGCACTCCTAGGATGAAGAACCTTCGGGCCTTCGGGTTTAGGCTCTAGGGTGTAGGGTTATCCTAAGGGTTTAGGTTTTAGGGTTTAGGGTTACCCTAAGGGTTTAGGGTTTAGGATTTAGGGTGTAGGGTTATAGTCCCCCTTAAGTAGATAGAATATGGGGTATATGGAGTTTTTACTATAAATACCCAAAACCATATTCTGTCTACTTAAGGGGGACTATACCCTAAAGTTTAGGGTTTAGGGACCTTGCGCTGCATCCCAGACGTTGTTCTTCCTTGCTCTGGGTCAAATGCGACTGGGAAGCAGTCAAAAGTACACGTCGTCCATCCACAAAGACATGCGGCGCACTTGGTCCTCAGTCAAGCATATGGGGGGTTCCCAAAAATTAGGGGTCCCTTTTGTGGGGAGTCCCCATAATCAGGATTATACTATTTTGGGGTCTATATCAGGAACCCTAAGCCCGAAACCTTACATCCTAAACCCCCCTATATTCCGAAACTACCAGATACAGGGGGTAGGCAAAGCTTTCTGCAGGTTTGTATGTAATCCCCTCCCCCTAATATTAAACTGCCTGTGAGTACTTCAACGAAAGGCATTTCTCGAATCTATTCTAGCAGAACCCTAAACCCTAACCCTGGCAGTTGGTAGTTGCAGCCGTCCAAGTAAGGTCCGATTCTCAACGCACTGAATAGAGCGAACTTTGTCCAGAACAGAATGACAGACAGGTCGCGTAGGGTTTAGGGAATATAGCGAACAGTTCCTGCCGTGGAATAAGAACAGGCCTCAAACAGAGTAACAAAGAGGTCCTAAATCGAAATAGTCCGTAAGAAGCCCCTAATATCGAGGAGCCCCTAAAAGAAGGCCTCGGCTTTGGAATGGGGTTTAGGGTTTACGGTTTAGGGGGAATAGTCACCAATATAGTTTCCCAAAATAAGTGGACCCCAATATAAACCCCAAGATACTATAATCCTTAGTATTGGGACCCCTAAAAAGGTATCCCTAATTTTGGGAAACTACCATATAGCCTCAATCTGCCAAAGCCCCTAGAAAGGCATCAGTTTGGAAGGGTTTTTTTCTTTATGTGACCTTTTGTCCTGGGTTAAGCTCCCAGTTTGAAATAGGTTTAGGGTTCAGGGCTTAGGGTTCCCTAATACAGCCTTGATTTGGAATAGTATTCACAAGGCCTCCACTTGATATAATACTTAATAAAGCCTCAATTCCCTAATCAGGCCTCAATTTGCAATAGCCTGCAATAAACCACTGTTTTGGAATAGTCCCTGAATGGGCCCTAATTTGAAGTAGTCCCTGAATGGGCCCTATATTGAAATAGTTCATGATACGCCCCCAATTCCGAAGAGTCCTCAATAAGGGTTTCATTTGGTATGTTCTCTCTCATGAGGCCCTTATTCCGGGCAGTCCCTGATCTAATCAAGCCTTATTTGGAACAGCCACGCATAAGGCCTTCCTTCGCACTAATCCCTACATGTCCCGAGTGAGGCCCTAATGAAAACAGCCCCTACTTGCAAGTCCGCTGCCGAAAGCGGATTGCAACCGCTTACACAGAATGTCTAGGGTTTAGGATTTAGGGTCCTGGAAATCCGAAACCCGAACCAAACCCCCTAACCCTAAACCCTAAACCTATGCTAAACCTTCCGCCCGAAACCCTAAGCCCTAAGCCTTAACCAAAACGTCACGGAATAAGGACTAGCAAGTCCTGGCTGTCCTTGTATAGTTTAGGGTTTAATTTGCTTTAGGGTTTAGGGTTTAGGGTTTCCCCCTAAACCCCAAAGGCTATTGAACGGGACAGCTCACGCCCAAACCATGGTTGTTTAGGATTTAGGATTCAGGGATTTCATCTGACATCCCCCTTGACCTAGTCACTGAAACATGTTGAAGTATGATAAGACTTCGAGTTTAGGGCTTAGGGTTTCGGGTTACACTATACTAAGATGAAGAATAATTCCTGAGGATACTGCTTGGAAGCCCACACCTTCGTATCAGATTACCTATGCCTGCTACCACCTCGACCCTAACCCCTAAACCCTAGATCCCACCCCTGAAACCCTAAACCCTAAATAGTAGTTTCCATCTTATTCTCCATTATCCCGATATAAACCCAACATTATAGCCCTAATATAACCCCTATATGAGATATAACCCCTATATGAGCTAGGATCTAAACTCCTGGTATCCCCCTTAATAAGCCCTATAGTAGTTCCCTGTAGAGTCCCCTGTAGAAGCACCCTTTTAATAGTTTAGACAATACCTCATGTTACCTACCCTAAACCCTAAACCCTAAACCCCTAAACCCTAAACCCTGAACCCCTAAACCCTAAACGAAAGAGCTTTCTCTGAAGCTGCGGAGGCTCCTTCCAGGGCCTCGAGCCCGAAACGAACGATGAAATACGCCAGGTTAGGACCCAGACCCTGGCGCGGATTAGGAAATGAATCCAAGGCTTTAGGGGTTTTAGGGTTTTAGGGAATCTAAGGCTTTTAGGGGTTTTAGGGTTTTAGGGCTTCTAGGGTTTTAGGGCTTTTAGGGCTTTAGGGGTTTTAGGGTTTTAGGGTTTTAGGGCTTTTAGGGTTTTAGGGGTTTTAGGGTT